AGATCGTGTACGCCGACAATTTTGAGCTAAACAGGATATTTCAAGAAATCCCTCAGCAGTTAGTTAGAGGTCAAGCAGACAAGGTGGACAGCGAGATTGACAAACTGTGAATGCAGACAAATTCCAATATTGGTTGACTCGCTATGACCAAATGATGCATGATATTGAAGAAGATACTGTCAATGGGTTGCCCTCAGAAGAGTACAAGGCCTGGTACAACCTAGTGTCTCATCCTATAATACATAATGTAACTAACTCACCCAAAGACATATTGCAACCTCATAACCAAGAAAAAAAAGATATGGTTCCTGCTCATGAACCGCAGTATATAATGAGACCTCGAAGTTATGAGAACCAGTTGGTATGTTTATATTGACCTACAAATTTTTTTAGCCTTGTACTTAGTTATTAGTTCTATGAAATTATTTAATATATTAATTATCTTGTTTTTGTAGGTTAATGCAGTTCAGGCATCTACAATCATGTTAATAGAGGCACTTACACTTAGAGTGAAGTGGTATCCTGAAGTTTATAATCGCGTTAACGATGCGTTTGAAACGTTGTCTAAGTTTGTGCCTGTGGATATGGATGATGTAGAAGCCAGGATGGAAGATTTACAACGTGTATATAATGACAAAAGTATACCTAACGAGGTGAGACATGATGTAGTAAGTGAAAGTAGTCAGGGTGCAAAAGACCTAGCTTCATCTACAAAATCTACAATTGAGGAACGTAAAAGATATAACACACGAAAGAAACAGTATCAGCCCAAGAGAAGGCGACCAATGTAATGGGCTTTTGACCCTTATAATGTATTGAAACAGTTGACCCACCCAATGTATTGGTCATTTTGACCATTGTAATGTATTGCTCATTTTGATCTACCCAATTCATTAAATGAATTTTGTCAAGTCTTTCTACTTTCTTGCAAGTATTTTTACTGTCTTACTTGTTTTTCTAGTACTGCAAGCAATTGCTCATAAAGTCATGATAGTGGGTTGCAATGGTTTTGATTGATTCATTTCTATCGATACAAGGGCACATTCACTTTAAACCATCAGATTCACTTTAATGGGTTTGAATGCCAATTTTCCAAAAAAGCAATTCTTTTCTAGCTTGCAGTAAAAGCAGATGATTTAACCAACATCAAAAAATGATTTCGGATGTTGGACATCTGAAAAATGTCAAATGTGACATTTTCGGATGTTGAACATCCAAAAATGTGACTGTGAAAATCCAGCAACCTACTGGAATTTCGCAGTGACATTTTCGGATGTTCAACGTCCGAAAATGTGATATTTTCAGATTTACGCAGTGACAGTTTCGGATGTTGGATTTACGCAGTGACAATTCCGGCTGTTGAATTTACACAGTAACAATTTTGGATGTTGAATTTACGCAGTGACAGTTTTAGATGTTGAACATTCGAAATTTTCACATTGTTTGATATCTAACATCCGAAATTATTTTCGAATGTTGGTCATCCGAAAATGTCACATTTTCGGATGTTGACAATGCAAGCTTTATAAAATCTGACTGATATTGTGAAACATGCTGATAGACCTTTATATGCTTTCTATAATTATGTTCTTACTTTAAGTCAAATTTTGTTCTTACTTCTGTAAACTGTTCAATCCTATGGTCAAGCAGACTGGTAGCTTTATGGTATTAAATTATGCTTTATGGAATATTGTCGATTGTCGATACAAAAACACAATATTGACAACACGTAATTCACTCTATCGGTTCTCTGCAAGTCCTCCTATTATGACCCACTGCGCCGCATCGTTTGCACTTCAAAGGCCTAATGATGGGCTGTTCGGTCTCAGATATTCTTCGTTGCTTTTTCGGCCTACTGGGAAGGCGTGTAGTCCTTGGTGGGAGCACTATCTGGTTGAACATACATGTCAACTCAATATCATCCGAGACAGTACGCAGTGGGATCCAAATGCATATGGTTAATAGCCGTAATGGCATGAGCACACAGAATGCCACTGAGTTCCATTTTCTACAACTACACGTCCAATGCGTTAAATCTACAACGTACTTCTTCCCAAGATAGTGGATCTCAAATTGCGTATCCATGGCGGATATAACTGTGTGAAAAAATTGAGCCTTCATCTTTCACAAGTCGAGTAATTCTTACGCTTTCGGTACTAGCATGCCGTTCCAAGTATTACTTAACTCCCTCTTCTCTTCAAACATGGTCATCAACTGTACCATTATTTCTTCACACATTGTAATGATCAGCTTCTCTCTAGCAGATAAAATCCAAGCATTGAAAGACTTCACCATGTTAGAGGTAAGAGACTGTATCTGCCCAAAATTTGGGAGGGATGTTCTTAATCCACTCATATGGTTCTGGGTCGGCACAATGTATATCAAACATTACTTTTTCAAACCCACCAATGGTCGTTTTATGGGTAACTTTTTAAAACAGCATCAATAATACTTCAGTATTTGTTGACTTCTTCATAAAGCCCTTGAAGTTCTCTCCCATATGTCCCATGCAAAATGATGAAAAATATGTGGAAAAACATTTCTCTATTACTTCTGACAGACTTTTCTGTCGATCTAATATAATTGTTAAGGCAGGCAGATTAGGATATTCATTCAATAGCTCACTCAATATACTTAATAACCAATAATAGTTATCTTTCTCGACAACTGCAAATGCCAATGAGAATATCCCATTATTTGCTTCTAGGGCGATGACGCACAATAATATGCATTGATGTTTTTCTTTTAAGAATGTCACATCAATACCAATTAGTGGTTTGCATCCATTAACAAAACCCATAATGCATGGACGATAAGCAATAAGTAGTCATTAGAACCTGCCTTCATCTACGTAGATCCGAACTTCGGTTCCGGGTTGGTTATTCGGATCTTCTCAATATACAGGGGAATGTCATGGTATTGTCGTTCACAGGATCCATTTATCATCTCTCTAGTAACATCTTTTCCCCGTTAAGCTTGCATATAGGAAAGCCTAACACCGTGCTCACGTTGGACATCCCTTACGATGTTTTTCACTCTACTTTTTGGTTGGTCAATAAGGCGACCCTTAATCTTTTTTGCCACCCAATCATTATGAGTTAGTAGCTGATTGACCCTCCTATATTAGCCACTACATGTATGCTCCTTAACCATAAACTTCACTTTAAAGCACGCGGTACTGGCAACTCGTAAGCACCGCACTTGCCATGTGCATCCCTCTACCTTACAACTTGCTCACACCCAACCCAATTCACTTTTGTCAAACTTCAGAATAAAATTATTGTGGATTGCAAAATCAATTAGATGATGCCCGCATTCATTTACATTTGAAAAAAATTGCCCAAAATTTAATTGAACATTGTTACCAACTCCCCTATATGGACTCTTTAGTGGCTCAATATCTTCCATATCACGCTCTGGTACAAACTCAAGATCGGGCGCCACTTGAATGTTTTGATCTTCATCAGATAAAGCGTTACACCGACTGTTGACAAAAGATAGAGTGTAAGATGAAGCAACAATTTCTGCACATAAAAAATTCAAATAAAGCAATTTACAGATGAAAAAGTAAGTTGTAGATATACTATTACTTGAAGATACGTCATCAGCAATAGATTCATGTTGTAGTTCCATTGCAGCGGCAATATATACTACATTTCTCGAAGATTATCCTCCCAACATAAAAGATACATCTATATCATCACTTACATCAATCAAATCAAACCCATTAGATAAACTTATGTTGTGGTACATAATAGCTAATTTGTTTGGATCACCCTTGGTTAAATTACCAAAATGACTTTTGAATTCCTCCAATAAACTATTTTCATTATGCTTCGTAACCTTCAATTTTCTCCCTTTATAAATAACACGTCCGTCATCTGCATTCGTCTCAAATAACCCCACGAATTGGAATACCAGTTGCATTCCCTCGGTAGCCATTGTCAATGCTACGGTATTGAATGAATAGCAAAATTTGTGTTACAAAAAATCAATACAAATAAGGAATATAAAAAATTTGGATATTTTTAACTACTTTAGGGTTCATAAAATGTTAGTATTATATAATAGATTGAAATAACGTATTACTAAAAATGTGACTAGTAAACAATAAAAAAAAAAAAACAAATACTCAAATAAACACAAAATAAACAACAAATTTTAATACAAAAACAAACAAGTTTAACAATTATTTACCCAAAACAAGGAAAACAATGTATCAACATAATACGAACAACAAATAATTATACAAATAAACAACTTCAACAATATTTACCAAATTTTATTTATTAATCAACAATACACAACAAATGCTAATAAAAAATAATAATATTGCATTAATTGTGACAAAATAAACATAAATTAATCGACAGTATAACGCAAGAGTAAAAACAATACCCATCACGACCAAATAGTGAGTCAATCTCTTCTACTTTGTGCGTTACTGTATTGGGGAGACAGTAAAAGGGGTATGATGTGCGAAAGATGCTATATTTTGTTTGTTTTCCCCAACTTTTTTTTTTTAAAAAAAAAAGCCTTTCCACTAAGAAGCGGGAAAATTCAGCTGGAAATTTTTCGATTGTTGAACAACCGAATTCAACATATTTTCCATTGTTCAACAACCGAAAATAAAAACGTGAAAGTTTAATTATCGGGCTATTTTTAGATGTCGAACATTCGAAAAACCCTGTTCAATACCCGAAAATAGGAATTTTAACGTTAAACTTTCGGCCTATTTTTTAATGTTGAACATCCGAAAAACTTTCAAATTCGGTTGTTCAACATTCGAAAAAAGGTAAAATGATCTTTTTTTAAAATTACGTTATAAAAACAAGTAAAAAACGGCCATACACGTAATAATGAAAACTATTTGGTATATCCATATAACAAATATTTATATAATTTTTTCAAAAAAAAAATCTAAAGTACCCATAACAAATGTACGGTATACTCCCATTGTATCTCGCAATCCACATGGTACTTGTATTTATGGTATCAGCACGAGCACTAGTATCGCCGGTGATTCAATTACCGTACTGGAGCGAGGCTTCTCGCTGGAATCTAGGGGTCCTTTGCTATAGACGGCTCAGCCGTAGCCGTAGCCGTAGCCGTCGGTATACGCATTCGACCATGGTTCCACTCCAGTCGGTCCGCACCGCCATGTCCGCCCTGGCCCTGGCCCTGGCCCTACTCCTCCTCTCTCTCTTTCCCCTCCTCTCTCTCTCTCTACATGACGACCACACTCCCATCTCCCGCTTCCGCCACTACCTCTCCATCAACACCGCCCACCCCGAACCTGACTACCCCTCTGCCGCCTCTTTCCTCACCTCCCAAGCCCTTTCCCTCTCCCTCCTCACCAAGACCCTCTATTTTGCCCCCAATAAACCCCTCCTCCTCTTCACATGGCCCGGCTCCGATCCTTCTCTCCCATCCGTCCTCTTCAATTCGCACATAGACAGCGTCCCGGCCGAGGCCGAGAAGTGGGCTCACCCCCCCTTCTCCGCCACACGGGATGCTCACGGCAACATCTACGCCCGTGGCACTCAGGATGACAAGTGCGTCGGCATGCAATACCTCGAGGCCGTGAGGAGGCTCAAGGCCAAATCCTATACACCTACGCGCACCATTCACATCTCATTTGTCCCTGATGAAGAGATTGGGGGCTATGATGGCACGATGAAGTTTGTTGAATCAAAAGAATTTGAGAGTTTGAATGTTGGGTTTGTTTTGGATGAGGGGCAGGCCTCGCCTGGGGATGAGTACAGGGTGTTTTATGCGGATAGGTCACCAATTGCAGTGATTTTGAGGGCGGTGGGACCGCCTGGGCACGGCTCGAGGATGTTTGAGAATGGAGCGATGGAGAACTTGATGAAGAGTATGGAGGTTGTGAGTGGTTTTAGAGAGGCGCAGTTTGATATAGTGAGGGCAGGGCTTGCGATGAGGTCGGAGGTCATCTCGGTGGCCCCGGTGTATGTGAAGGCCGGCACTCCCAGCCCTACTGTGAGTGCTTGTTTTGGACTGTGTTTCCTTTTTTTGCTCTTTTTTGGGGAGGAAGATTGATTGTGTTTTTCCTTTCCTTTTGGATTTTGTGCATTGTTTGCCTTAATTACACTGGTGAGATGTTGTTGCTTGATAGAGTGAGCTTGTCTTCAGCATTCCCATTTTATGCTTATGTTTGGGAAAAGCATCGCATGTTATTTTTGTTTCGTAGTGGTTTTTTCATGGCATCATTCGAATTACAGTGATCAGGAAGTGAACGATCAACCGTGTGAATTCTGGAGAATGAATTTACATGATCTATCTTAATGAAATGAAGAGTCAAGGATTTTGAACAGAGGGAGAATACACTGTGCTTCCTAGAGATATGTTGTAACTATACTCGGCAGAAAATCTACCTTCCAATGTTTATTAGAGGGTTGAGATTCGATATTGAACAGTATGTCTGATGGTATGAATGAATAGCATAATGGTTTTCTTCTCTGTGTTTATGATCTACTTATCACCATTAGCTATGCTAGTGGTATCACCCATCTCTAGGCTGTCCTCCAAATTCAAATTCACTTGAAAGATTTAGGCCTCTGAAACATTTTTAGGGCTGGAAGCACATAAGTCTGCTCATAGGACTGGCTTCACCAGGTCGAGCACTGCAAGAATCTCAGTACATTAGCTCGTGTCATAGAACCAAACATAGCTGATACCCCCTTGGAGCTCAACATGTGTCTTGTTGAGAGCTAGTGACCACTTGTCTTGACATTGCCCATGTTGTTTCATATGATCGGCCAATTTGTCTATAGACCTTTCTGTTACTGTCCCGTAAGTGCATCATCTGCTGCACATGACACATGGCCTCTAATGGCTTCACTTTTTCTTTCTCATCTCCGCCCCTCCTCCTGTTCTTATGTTGATGCTAATCAATCTGAAATTCAGAGTGGCATAAAAGCTGTAATAATTTTAAAAGGGTTATAATTGACTATTCATTTAGTAGATGACTTGCATGAGCTGAAGAAGATGGTTTTCTGCAGGGCTTTGTTATGAACCTGCAGCCATCAGAAGTAGAGGCAGGTTATGATGTTCGGCTTCCACCTACTGCAGATCCAGAGCTTTTAAGATGGAGAATCGCTAATGAATGGGCCCCGGCTACAAGAAACATGACATACGAGGTCAGAATTATTCAGTTCATGGCTTTTATTTTCCATGCAAGTCTTTCTCATTTTTGTAACCTCATTGATTACTGGGTTATTGTGTCATTTTAGTAAATAATTACACCACTTCAAGGGGTACCATACTAGCATGGAAGTCCTGTCTTCTTTTTATTAGTTTGGTTCTCAAAATAGTTGGCAAGCATCAATTTTTTCTTTCTTTTTTGTCATATATAATAGTTAGCTCGCATCAAATTTGTCTGCATAAAACCTGTGGTGAGTGGTATAAAGGGTGTCCTGCATAGAATCTTGGGAAAGAACAGACAGGCTTAATTTCTATTTTCATTGTTTGAGCTATGAGCTTGGTTGGCTTCAAGGAAAATGAATAGTTGAAACAAGTTGATTATAACCTTTTTAAACATTCGTTGATGTGTCGTAGACAGCTCCCATTGTTCTTATGGTTCCTGAGTTTTTCAACATCTTTAAAGAAGTGTAATATGTGCAGTATATGCTGCCATAGTGATTTTCCAATTTTAGTACATTTGTACAAGCATGTGTTTCCTAGCAAATTATAACCCCTTTTGTGTATATTTACAACATTAATCCTGATAATGCAAACTATGGGATCTTGAATAAATTGGTGTTGATCATTCTCTCACATTCATGGTTTATGACAGTCTCTAACAATGTTTTGAAACTCGTCAAGTTTGACTTGGATTTCAATTGAGACCCGGCAAGGACTTGGGTCTGAGTGAAAAACCTAGGCAACCGGCTCTCCGGCCGAGTTTTACTGGTTCTCAATGTTACTATGTTACTCTTTTTAAAGACTCGGGGGAGTCTAACCTCTGACTCGGTCTCAGGCCTTGCTTGGATCCATGCTTAAGTCTGAATTTATGAACACTAGCTTGAAAGACTGACTTAGATCAGTACTTCATAGTCCTGATATGAGTTGACTTGCTGAGCCTCAACTGAGGCACTCCTAGACTACTCGGGGACTTTGGTCATGACCAAGGTGACTTGACTCAGAGGAGTTCCTAGTCAACTCCGTGATTTATAAAAATGAATGGTCACCGAAATCCCTTTTTTTCTCTATCAAATAAATTTAAACACTTATCATAAAGAATGCTCATGTAGTTTGTTAGAGTTTACAGATCTGGCAGTTCAGCATGTTCAACCTAGGCGTTGATCAAATTCAAGAAGTCCCCATTTCTTTGCAATTAATTGTTGATCGATCTTGGATAGATTTTTTTTTCCTAAGCCTATTTTTGGGTTCTTCATCGAAGCATAGGCTTGTTCCGTACAAATACCACTAAAACTCTCAGATTTTTGTATTTTATTTTGGATTTATTATTCACTTGAGCTTGGATCAACCAGATCCAAACTCGATCATAAATTTGGTTTAGGGGTTTGATTTGCATTGTTTGAAGAAGCTTTGATAAGGATTGGAGGCATCGATGTGCACCAAGCATAACGATGGGAGATCGGCCTTGAGATTTAGGTTATTTTCATTCTTTCAATTTAATTTCATTTTATTAGTTTTAGTTTTGATTACTCAGTATAGTAATAATTCGATTATTGTTGTATTTTTGTTGCAATCTATCTAAAACATGAGTGAGATTCAAGTTTTCTTTCAATGTTCATATCCAAAGATACTTCTTGCATGCCTTTGTATATAAACCTTCTTGTATTTATAATGTTGGTTGTCTTCTAATTTGATGATGCCAATTTAAATTTTTTTATGTTTTTTATGCATCAAGCATGCTTCGATTCTTTAGAAGTAGTGTTTTCTATTTATAACTTAATAAAAAATAAAATTTTCATATTTTGATGCGTAATTTTTTTTTTTATAGTTATATTAGCTTAATGTTTCAAATAGTTTTTCATTTTTAAATTACTGTTGCTAGTGAGATATATTTTTAAGTTTTTTAATGCATTTTGGTAGGTTTAGATTGTTCTCAAAGTAACATTTTCTCTGAAAAACATACGCTGATTCATCTAAAAATATTTTAACTCAGTATTGTAATTTTCTTTTCATATTTTGTTGGTATAAAAATATCTTGGTTGGGCGTATTTGCATTTAGCTTGCTCGTTTATGTAGGCTTGGGAGATGTCAACTACGAGGGAGGATCCAGGAGGGTGAAGCTCCCAGCAAATGGTAAGGGGGGGATGAAGTTTGGACATTGCGGGAAGGAGATCCAAGCTTTACTAATCACCTAAAATATCACCTCACCAAAATTCAGTGTGACGTGCAGCCATGTGATAATTTTCCTGGAGAAGTGAAGCAATAAATGCGGCAATCTATCGAGGCGGCAGAAGGAAAGAAGGTGCAAGGACAAAGGGTGGTTGAGGATATAGGGATAGAGTATTATATATCTTCTCAAGAGGATGGGGAGGGAGATTTTCAGGCCCAACATGAACTTGCAAAGAGGGCTACCTTAGAAGATATGCAAGCTAAATAGATGTGTATAGAAGAGATGTATACTTGACTATCAAGAGCTTCAGGTAGTTGTCGAGTGCTTCACAAACTGTTACTATCTAGCATTGGGGGGGTTGTGAGCCAAGGCTCTTCAGGTCTTCACCATACAAAGACATCGTACTACTTCTCAGCCTTCTCAACCCCAATCCCAACATTTTGAGCCTACCAAGGATCAAATGGACCCCTTTCTTTAGAAATCCTAAGCAGAGCAGAAGACCTTTAAGTCCATGTGGAGGAAAGCAATTAAGAAATACAGAAGGCAATTGCATCGTGTTTCTATGATGTTGTTATCCCATTCAATAGATCGAATGGTGAATATTATTATCCTATGTATCCACTATCATGAATATAGGGCCAGGATTCAAGGGCGCAACTGTAAAAGAGTTTGCATGCCCTTACTTGTATGAGGAGGTTGCCGAGGTGGACTCATTCCTTGACGAGTGTAAGCTGATGTAGCATAAGACTGGGGTCACTATTTTGTCTCATGGTTGGAAGAATGGGAGAGGAGGCATAATGTTAATCTTTTGGTGTATTGCCTAGGAGGAACAGTCTTCCACTCCAGTGCTATCTCTTGCACCCAAAGATTACTGAGACTTTTTCTTAGTGTGCCTTGATAGAGTAGTGGAGGTAGCTAGGGTGGATAACGTAATTGAATTGGTTGCATTTAAGGCAAAGAACTGCATTAATGCAGGGAGGTTGTTAAGGAATGAAAGGAAGCATTTTGCCCGTGCTTTGGCCATTGTATGGACCTCATGTCAAAAGCGATCAATGAATTAAAGGAAGTTAAGGTCTAGGTTGAGAAAGAGAATAGTATTTTTTTATGAAAAATGTTAACATTAGAAAAACAATAGTATTATTAATTAATATGCAATCAGCCCTTCATCCTTAACTTAAATAATGTAACGTAGTGATAGGGAGTTCATAACGCCTGCTGTCACTGGATTGCAACCTCATACCTGACATTAGAGTCAACCCTTTTAAAGGTCACAATTGGGACTGGAAAAAATAGTGGCATCTGAGGAATGAGTTTCTGCACCTATCTTAAGGAGTCAACTTGCAAGAAAAATGATTAATAACTGCACCATAATTTTCTCTCCCCCTCCAAATTCTCTTCTTTTCTTCATCCCCCTTGGTAATAGACATGAGGTTGGTTGCTTCAGATGTTAAGCCTGCCATGAGATTCCTATAAGAGGCACTTGATGTGCAAAGCATGTCATAGAAGTCAACTGTAAAAGTGGACTGGCACGCAACACTTCCATAACATGTAATTGTCGATTTCAAGTTTCTATTTATGTTCATATTTCAATTTGCGATTTGTTTTACTTGTGGGTTTTGGCCTATTGTACCAGACCATTTATGTTATCCATGTATTCAGATTTTTTCTTTAACCTAACATATTACTATCGATCAGGTTAAAGTGAGAACCATGAGATTATTGAAGTGAGTCAATTATTTCATCGAAAGATTAGAGCCAAATGAGGAAACCCAACTTGAAGCTTTGAAAGAGGTAACATTTTATTAAATTGTGAAACCATGAAACCTGAATGCCCTGCAAGCTTTTTTGTAGTTGTGTCCTCAAATCCCAGTCCTGCTTTCACTGTAGTGGATAACATTGGCTGATAATATTCACTATTTACCACTGTGAATGGGATAGTGGCATGGGGAATCATATAATAAGTAGAGTAAGTAGGTTAGGTGGAGTTTTGGGGATGGGAAGGTTGACAATTAGTAGGAGGACGTCACATGGTGTAAGAATGAAGGAGTCTTGGCCCACAGCCCCACCCCACACCGGGGTACTATTGGTTTTGGAGGAAGACTACTAGTAGCTCCTGCCTGTCTAGTGTAAATCTTGTCAATATGGAGTTGTCTAGTGCTTATATCTACTGGATTGGCCCTAATCGCACGCTTCATTTGGCGCCCCTAAAATCTTCATCCTCGGTGCATAATACTCTCCCCATCTCCTCGACTACCCACTGTCTTTGCTTCTTCTTTCCCTTTCCTATCTCAATAACGCTCTACATCTTCTCCTTAACTTGCACATGCACCTCTGTACAGAGCTCCAGGTGATGATTTAGGCGACTAACACTGCCTGTCATTTCCTTCCCACAATATCTACACTTCACCTACTCCCTACCCTTCTCCGGTACCTTCACCTCATAATGTCATGCTGGATTCTCCCTTGACATCTCCTAAACCTACAAAAGTTAATATGCTACAGCATAAACACCCAACCAAGATATTTTTATATGATAGAAATATGAAAATAATTAAATTGTTGAGTAAAATTTTCTGTATACACATCAAAGAATAATCTTATATACATCAAAACGTAGTGTCTTGAAGCAGGAGCGGCGTCAAGGGTGGGTGCTGGAGTGGGAGAGATGGATCGACAGGAAGCTCTGAAGGTTGAAGCGTATTTCATACAATGTTATTTGTAAAACAAATTTTAAAAAAATAAAAAATTAAAAAACCAATCATCCCACAAAATACAATAAAAATTTTGCACACAAAAATAGGCAATAAAAAAGTAATTATTTATTAATTAAATTTTATTTAATTGTTAAATAATTTTTTTATGTTCCTCTATGTTTCAGTTTACGTGATGACAATCCCACAAAATACAAAAAAATTATTATGATGTAACATGGGCCAATAAAAGGGAGCTGATTTTTATTGATAAAAACATGCAAAAGCATTACGAGTGAGCAGGGTAGGAACTAAGATCCAAATGAGTCATCTTCCTGGCCTCTTATTGCCCATTGCAGTGGCTAGGAGCGATCCCTATTCGGGAGTGCTAGAACGATGTCCTGGAGTGGGATTGATACCTAGGTTGAGAGATTTCATTAAGTATGCAACGAAATATATTTTTTGACAGAAAATGTCATTCTTGAAACAATGTATGCCTACCAAAGGCATTCAAAATGTATCAGATTGGCAGCATTGAGTCAAAAAAAAAAAATGAAGGAAAGAATTCATTAGCAAAAGGTTTTGATGTATCTATAGAACATTTTTTTATGCATCAAAACATAAAGAAATAAATTATGATTTTTTGAGAGAAATTAATATTTTCAAAATTATAAAGGCACGCAAACCTGGAACATAAAGAAATCAAAAAACACATTAACAATATTAAGTAGAAAAATCTATAAAAAACAATATTTTTATGCATCAAAATATGAAAAAAAAAAATGATTTACTGAATTTTTTGAGAGAAAATACTACTCTCAACTATCAAAGAATGCTAGTTGCTTAAAACAATCATAAAAATCTATTCAGTATCATCAAATTGAAAAAGAAACAACATTATAGATAGACAAATATACTTGTAAGAATTCTCTTTGTATACATGAAAATTGAAAAGGGGAAAAAAATGTCAAATCTAACTCATGTTTTTATAGAACGCATCAAACATGTAGCAATAACTAAATTATTAATAGATTGTGTGATATCAATAAAATACACATTAATTATATGCATTTAAATTAAAAATGAAATTTACCCAAAACTTTGAGGCAGATATCCCAATATCTGTGCTTGGTGCAATTAAATCATTTTCAAAGCTTCCTCAGACAATCCCAATTTGAAACTTCCAACCAGATCTCAGTTTCGAGTTCAAATCTAGGTGATTTGATGATCTCTTGAATAATTCGGATGACTAATAAATCTGAGACTTAAATCTCACATATATGAAATATTTTATGTTTTTCTTGTAAAAACATGCATATTATTGAGTGAGGAATCCAAAAATAGGCTTTTGGAACAAATCCCATTGAATATTAACCAACTGTTGCGAAGAAATTGTAACTTTTCAAAATTGGGCTTATGAATCCACCCTTGGTGTGAATTCATGTCTCCAATCATTGTCAAAATAGACAATCCCAATCAAAACTCCCAAACCAGAACTGGGTTTCGAGTTCGAACCTAGGTGATCTGTTCTCTTGAATAATTCGAATGAGTTATAAATCTAAACCTAAATCAAATAAACAATAAATTAGCATTTCAAACAGTACAATCTCTTAATCAATCCAATTTCCATGAACAAACAGGCATGCTCTGCAACTAATTATCACCAATAACTATATAATATATGTATGGGTGTGGTTTGCATAAGGTTGCAACCTTAAACAATCAAAGTAAGGTGCACCACCAAATTTTATTATAAGATGTAATTTGATGTCAAAATTTTTTAGGATAGCCTGATAATCCATTTTCATCTCTAATTATGAAAGTTTAGACTCCAAAATGGTTCAAATCAAGTAGATCTATAAATACATGAAAATTTTGAATTGGACGGTCCAGATAATGTGTTGCAAGATGCACTATTTTTGGGACTCAAAATCCTTTTTTTTTCACATATTCATACATTTGATGTCGAGATGATCTATTAGAGGGTTTTCCAACATCAAAATAGCCTTTTCTTATGGATATTTGAGGTGCACCATAATTCTACATTTTAAGGTTGCGACCTTATATAAAATTCCATTCAACTTCCGCTACGTGAAAAAGAAAATCAAGCTTCCATTATCATTAGATCTTTCAAAAGTCATGTCGGTATAGGAGTGAAGTGAACATGTCTCACTCTTACGCGCTACTCATTTTGCATATCGTCATGAAAGGACCACTTTTCCATGTCAATTTTCGTAATGTTGAAAAGAAAATTCTCATTAGAATCAGTTCAATCAAAACTTTTAGTTTTTGTAATTGATCAGTTACAATCAGTATTCCTATTGTGTGTTTCTTTTTGCAGATCATTGTGAAAGGACCACTTCGGGACAATGAAGGGCGGCCTTTGATGACGGCAACAAACGGATCCAACCCATGGTGGTTGGTTTTCCAGCAGGCAATCCATGCATGTGGAGGAAAACTTTCCAAGCCAGAAATCTTGGCCTCAACAACTGATACTCGTTTCATGAGACAGATGGGTATACCCGCTCTTGGGTTTTCACCCATGATAAATACACCCATCCTACTTCACGAGCATAATGAGGTTCAGTGTTTTCCTTCACTCACCTTTTTTAATTGGTTTGTTGCTGATAGTGAGGATTTTATTTTGTGTATTTGTTTGAATTGATAAACAATGTCCTTTACATATACATGATTTCTAATATGTACATATACATGGTTTCATGTTGCAGTTTTTGAATGAGAACGTGTATATGAGGGGTATTGAGGTATATGAATCCGTGATCAGTTCATTGAGTTCTTATACAGGATATACATCTACCTGAGCTTCATGCTCTCTGTTAATGCTGAGCCTGGCCTAAAAAGGAGTAATGCATTGGGGAACCTACTCTGAAAATAGAAAGGAGCATGTGCAGATTTGTGCTGGTTGAACCAGAGATGGAGATTAAATTATTGGCCCATTCCACTGTTGTTTCCAAGTTAGGATATGGAAAAGAGTAATGGAATGCTTAAACGATTCAGCTGTGTCAAGTGCCATTATCTTGAAATGCCCACTTGACAGCTGGTTGTAACATAGAAGACAAGAATGTAATTCATTGACATTTAGGTTTTGTGAACATTGTCTATTATCCTCTGGTATTCTCCTGAACGATGTGTTAGAGAAAAATAAACTGTGCTCTATTCTCAAGTCAAGCTTGCTTTATAAGATTTCACTAAATCCTGGAATAATTGTTGGCATGACTTGGGAGTTGGGACAACTGTTGTTGAGCCATGTTCTTACTTTTGGAGCATGTTGGGGCTGCTTATCTATGCTGGAAGTTTAATTTTAGCGAAATAGAAAACAGAAATTCAAGTCACTTTTATGACTTGCACACCATGAGGCTTTCTAACGCATTCTTTACAGTGTGAGTTGCCAAGGCTCGGTTTCCTTATGGTGTGGCTTATGCAGGTTGAGAACTGTTGTTTTTGTGCTATATGGATTGAACCTCTTTTATGACTAAGTGGCCAAAAAGCAGCAACTCTGCTCTTCACGGACTGTGCGATGCCAAGGTTTGTATCTTTGAACCTTTTGTCTAAGTTTTGTATGTGTTGTGTGGTTCATGTGTTGGGTATAAATGCCCATTTTGGGTTTTCTCATGATCGAATATTTGGATAAGGGTGTGTTGAAACATGAGTAATGTTATTTTGCTGTTTCTTTTGGCAAGTTTTAGATCTAAAGGCAATGTATAGGGTAAGCGAAGGGTTTAATCCCCCATTGCCTTGAGACATTCTACTACTCTTATGTATTTATAAGTCGGACATCTCAGTCATACGAGGGCTCAGAAGAGAGGCATTTGGAGTTTCCCAGATGCTTTCAATTTGTGTGTTTAAATACAAACAAACAAACACACGAACTCGCGGCTGTTCGGGAGTTTTGGACCAAAGCCTTAAACCTTTTCTTGGCCAAATTTTTGGTCCTACTTTAACCACAGATAAGGCAATTTGATTGCATTTCTGTGTCTATGAGCCTTACATGCGCATTGCCATCCAGGCTGTGACTTGTGGCTGAGTTTGAAATTCAGACCAAAGTTCTAACTTTTTAGCGGCCAAACATTTGATCAATTTTTTAACCGTAGTTAAGACAGTTTGATTGGATTTCTGAGTCTATGAGCCTATTGAGTGCACTTATGTCTGTGAGCCTACTTGGAGCTTTTCTAGGAAAGATCCAATTGTTCACCAGTTTTGGAATTTGGGCATTTGGCTAGGGGTAATTTTGAAACCTTGATTTGTTTCTCAGAGGGTTGGAGAGAAAAAGGATTACTCTATTTTTTAATGTTTATCTCTAACCCATCCAACCCCTTACAAATGGGGGGTCATGGGTTTTTATAGAACTTAAATAAAACTAGGGTGGAGAATTCAAATTAGGCATTATAGGTGGGTGAAAATTTAACTCGGACCAGAGGGGAAATTGGCCATTTGGGCGGTCAAAATTTGGAAATTATCATCAACCTAAACTTGGAAACAGCCTCTCCCATGCCATCCTCAATTTCATGCGTTTTTGGGCTGTTTTCACTCAAATTTTGCCCCAATTTTGTGTAGCGTGTTGTCATGTTTATTTTGTGAGAGAGAGGATTATAAAATTCAAATATTAAGGGAGTTATGATCATTTTATGGATTTAGTAACAAGTTTTTTAAGAACACTTATGGTTGACTTGATTTCTTGTAAAATTCACCTGTTATCCTTTTTTCAACAATCAACCGCCAGAACTTCATGGAGAATTATCTTTGCTATATTTGGGGAGTGATTTGGATAAAATACTCCCAAATTTGGTGGAGTCATGATCAAACCATTTGGTTCTATTTTAATTTTCAGCAGTCATGGTTTTTCTAGCAACTTTCTCTACAATTCGACTCTCGAATCGGCATGGAAACCTTCAAAATTATATTGATATGAAATGGGTCGAGTGAGGAATGTCCCTGCAAAATTTGAGCTCAAAACTCTCTACGGATTGTGAGAATTGAGAATGAGTTCGGGTTATACTGACTGCTACCCGAGTTCACTCTTGATCATCTACTTTTTCCCTTCTATTCGACCATGGTGTGTGTTGGGAAACCCTTTGATACAGAATAGAAAGCTATGAGCGAGAGGAGCAACATATCCAAATTTGAAGTCAGTTGGTACTTTCATTTGGATGAAGAAAACTCGGTGATTATTGAAAGTTATTCCTCCAATATTGGATTATGCACACAATGTGTACTTTTGTAAAAGTCGAGTGGTCCTTCGAATGTTGCATAAAAAATGGCACTTCCTGATATCGAATCGACAACAAATTTGAGATTTAGGCTCCTGAGCATTGTGGCTTTCTTCTATAAAATTTTTGGCACATGAGGCGACAAACTTCACGAGGCTTCTTTGTAAATTCGGGCCATTTGAAGGGTGACACCCACTTTGTACCCCCGAACAAAAGGTCCAAAATGCCATATCTAATTCATCCAATATCTGATTGATCTGATACTCTAGATTTAAGCCTTTTGTTTGTGTCGTTGCATCATAAAAGCTTTGAACCTTTCGGTTACAGATTTCATACGACTCTTTTATAAATTGGGGGCCAACTTGGGCAACGACTCTTTACTTCCGACGTAGTGGGATTAGATCTTGGTCATCCAACATCGAATTGGTCTGATATTTGGAGGGTATTATTGTAGTACCTTGGATTAAAGATCAAACGGTTAGATTAGAGTTCTGAGTGGGTTTGACCAGAGTTTGACCATGCTCTCTTCTGGGCTGTCCTATTGCCATCTTAAACATTCAACTAGCTCTAATTCTCGTTGTTTTTTTAGCACGGGGCTTCTTCTCATTCCCTCTAAAAGATTCATCAATTTTGAGCTTGATCTGAAGCTACTTTCTTCTTCGATTGTGCCCAATTTCAATGATTGTGGCATAATCATGTCAGTTATTGTACTTAGTGTTTATTCAGATGATTGTCCTGACAAGTTGCACACAACTGGCCATTGTTTGGCATATTTATTTAATTTCTTTTATTTTGGGTGGCAAAAAGGCCCTTTGGAAGGCAGAAATCCGAGGTTTCCCTTATGTGGGACTGTAGTCTGGTAATGTATGTGCTCCACAACCACAACAACTGCCCCTTGGATGATTTTATTTTGCTTCAAAACACCCCCAAACACCGAGATCGACAGAGATGAAGAGGATGAGGAGGAGGCACTTGTAGATGAAGATGATGCCGGTGAGCGTAGCGCTTCCGATGATAGTGAGGGAGATCCCTCCTTTTGGCCCTAAAGCAGAGCTGAGAGAGAGAGAGAGAGACTGGGCTCGAAGGGAGAGAGAGTAGGAGTTGATAGATGCCCAGCCAGCGATCTACAAAAGGGAGATAGACTCATATGATTTTTGTGGATTCCCTGAGTGTGAAGGAGACTCATTCTTTGAGGGCGTTCTTAGTCTACCTATTTGGCTCTTTCCTCTTTGCTAACACTTCAAGAGGATGGATCGAGTATAAGGTGATCTGGACGACCCGAGGCTTGGTTACTTGGAGAGAGTGGCCTGGGGACCTGCCATTCAAGGCTGCATTTACCTCAGTCTTTAGAAGGCTACTCTGGGAGGAGTCCATACTCTCAGTTGTTTTTCTGTCTTTCTTCAGGTACTTTGCACTTCCCTCGTCTTTGATGTTACTATGAACCCCGACCCTTGAGGTTTGGTTCTCACATAGGAGCTTTCTCTTTATGTTTGTTAGGTTTAGGCTTGGGAGCGCATAGGTATCCCACTCCCGACTCCTTATTCTCTTATGCCTCAATTTCCCCACATTCATAGGCGGGCTTTCGGTATTTGGGAGATGAGGTCTTTCTAATCTCTTTTCTTGGACTTCTTGTCCAAGCAGGAAGTAAACCCTCTTCTTGATAGCCTTTTGTCTGTTTCTTTCCCTCTTAGGGATGTGAAGTATTCACTAATTTTCCTTCTTTCTTCAAATTACCTCATGTTTAGTAGGGGATGCTTTGTCCCTACTGTACCTTGAGTCCTCGGAGGGTGCCTCTAACTTGCATGGACATCGTGGAGATTTACCATCCTAAGCATGTCCCTCGGGCCTCGGCAATATGACTAGCCTCACCCTTCTTCATCTTCACTCCTCTCCTCTCATCTGGACTGCAAACTGTGAGGGGTGCTTGGCGGATATAGGGAGCTGGGTATTTGAGTGGGCTAAGAGACGTCGGAGAATGGTCCAGTAGAATGATTATGGGTGCTTTGGTTAGTACATGAGGACTGTTGTAGAACTCTCTCTACTGAGATATATCTGTCAAACCATGGCCTGGATGTGGTCCATCATCTAAGAGAGGCACGAGCTGGTGTAGGGTGACATCATCAACCTGGAGATTCGATTGGAGAAATCGGGCCATGCATGCAGATATGCTGAGCCTGAGAGAAATGAGGTGAGAGCCAAGTGGACTGCTTGAGATCTGAGCATGACAGTTTGAGGTCTGAGTTAGATCAACCCCTCCGTCTTCTTATTCACCCTCGATGCCTTAGGGAGATTCTTGGGCCCAGCAAGACCAGGAGCTTAGATGCCTGCGAGGAGATGTTGACTGACTTCATAGGGAGAGGGTTTTCGCTCTTCTCTTTCTTCTTTAAATTGTTTACGGTGAAATTCGTGACAGATTTGAGAATTGATCCGCCTATGATTCACTCGAACCGAGTTACTTGAACAATGATCGGGTTCTGCCGAATTCTGATCCACAGATGATTCAATCTCTGAGGGAGATCAAGCTTTCTAGGGATTTTGCCGCAATGCCAGCTATATATCGCACCAAAACATGCGAGGAAATAAACATGCACGAAGTACACCTGAAAATGTTTAAGCAAATATGAAAGTAACTAACTAGATGAAGACAAAAATTGAGAATACTAACTTGAAGCAAGGCCGACCGGCCTGGCAACCAAAATAATCCCAGTTCAAACCATGTGAATGATGATTAACCCCTTTCTTACATAAAGATGTGCCCATATTTTGAGATAGATTGAAGAATGGCTATGGGTCTATGTTTTATTGCATAGATTAGGACTGACTGAAGGTTTTTTCTTAAAATCTAAATTTTGGGAAACGGTTTTACATTTGCAGGGAAAAAGTTTAGGATTTTGAATACCTGAATCTAGGGTTTCGAGGCTAGGGCTAGGATTTCCAAGGCTTCTAGGGTCATGGAAGAAGTCGGTCAAGAATTGGCCAAAAACCATCCTAAGTGGACCTAAAAAAGTCCTATTTTTAGAGGAAATAATTTCAAGTCAATATGGACCGCGTGTTCTATCAATGACAGGAGATGCGGCGGTGGGATTTCTGCCCTCAGCGCCACACACCACATCTCTAAGTTACTTTGGATCTCACTCGGTATACT